AATTGCAAGGCTGTGGAAACAACCCAAGTGCCCATCAATTCATGAGTGAATTAATAAAATGTGGTATATGTATACCATGGAGTAGTACTCAGCTTTAAGAAACAACGGTGATATAGCACCTTTTGTATATTCCTGGATAGGGCTGGAACCCATTCTATTAAGTGAAGTATCTGAAGAATAGAAAAACAAGCACCACATGTACTCACCAGCAAATTGGTATTAACAGATCAACACCTAAGTGAACATATAGGAATAACATTTATTGGGTTTCAGGCAGGTGGGAGAGGGGAGGAGGGGATGGGTATATACAAACACTACGAGTAAGATGTGCAAAGTTTGGGGGATGGACATACTTGAAGCTCTGATTCAAGGGGGGAGGGGAAGCATGGGCAATATATGTAACCTTAGCACTTGTACCCCCATAATACGCTAAAACAAAAAATAAAAAATTAAAAAAATAAAAATTAAAAAAAAGAGCAGTCTTCCAGGTGCCAGAGGATCCTACTTATCTGCAACTCTATTAGCTTTCTTCTGGGGATTATGACTTAATGTAGAAGTCTCACTTTCAGTTCTCTTTGCATTTCGCTCAAGGTTTAGTCTAATATGCGCATTTTCCCTGTGGGAAGGTGTTCCCTTTTATATTTGTTCATTTTTAACCTCTCTCTTCTGTTCTCATTATTTTAAATAGAAGCTCATGGGTATTTTTTTTTTTTTTGGTGGTGGTGGTGGTGGTGGTGACAAGACTGGAGATTTCTCTTCAGTCTGTATAGCAATGCATTAAAAAGTATGTATTGTCAGTGATATAGCCTCTTTTATTGTTCTGAAACACATAATATAAAATGTATCATTTTAACCATTTAAATATACAATTCAGAGGCATTCAATACATTTACAATGTTATGCAAATATCAAAATCCATTTCCAGAAATTTTTCATCAGCCCAAACAGAATCTCTGTACTCATTAAACAATAACTCTCCATTATTCCCCTGCCAGCCCCTGGTAACTTCTGTTATAATTTTTGTCTCTATGAATTTGCCTATTCTAAGTACCACATTATGATGGTTAATTTTATATCTCAACTTGACTGGCCATGGGGTGCCCATATATGTGGTAAAACTTAATTCTGCATGTGTCTTTGGGAGTGTATTTTGGTGAGACTAACATTCGAATTGGTAGACTGAGTAAAGCAGATTGCCCTCCCTTTATATAGTCAGTTGAAGGCCTGAATATAATAAAAAGGCTAAGTCTCTCTTTGTAAGAGAGAATTCTTTCTACCTGACTAAGTTTGAACTGGGACTTCAGCTTTTTCCTTTTTTGGGCTCAAACTAAAACATCTTCTTGTGTCTTGAGCCTGCTGATCTTCGCATTGGAACTACATTATATGTTCTCCTCATTCTCAGGTCCCTCAGACTTGGACTAGAACTACACCATCAGCTCTCCTGGCTCTCCAGGTTGCTAACTTATCCTCCCTATCTTGGGATTTGTCAGATTTTGTAATCAAGTGAGCTAATTCCTTATAATAAATGCGTACGTGTGCGTGCGTGTGTGTCTCCTATTGGTTCTGTTTCTCTGGGGAACCCTGACTAATGCAGATTTTGGTACTGTGAATTTTGGTTCTAGAGGAACAGAATTTTAAGGATGATTTTTCTGGATTGGCTCTTAGATTGTTTGAATTGGTTCTCTAATCTGATTAAATTTAAAGACACTAATGACTCTATTTCCAGTAGAAAAAGGAGTCCATTGTATGATCTGGCAATAGAGATATGCAAAATATCTCTATTGAATACTTTTAATTAACCACTTATAGGAAGCAAGGATCTGAGTGACTATGTATATGATACTTATGAACATATTTGTCGAACTAATGAATATAATGACATTGGCTCCTATTGTTGCTGGACAAAATGAGGAAAGAAACAGATAATCTCATGGATTTAAATTCCCAGCTCAAGAGCTGCATAAATTACCTGAAAGTGTCTATGTATGCCCTGAAGGAGAGCCTTATTTCTTGTACCCACAGGTCTGTGATTTCTGAAAATCAAAACCAGAATCTCATCCTGTGTAGCTGAATTACAATTCAAGTTGAATTTCCAGCCTCTCAGAATGTCCACTGTTAAATTGAGGGCATGGATTGGAAAGCAATGGCATTCTGAAAGTTGTAATGGGGGCACGTGGAAAGATTAAGTTGAGGACATTGAACCCCTAAGTTCTGATGAGTCTTCTTTGCCAATGGAAGCAAACTTTCCAATTCCAATGAAAGAGGTGCCTCCACTTCCAGTGGAAGTAGCCTCCCCATCTCCAGTGGCCTTTCCATCCCCATCTAAAGGGATTATTTCTCTATTGCCTGAGGAAAATGTAATGGTTTCTTCTGAGGCAGTTGCCATGCAAGATAATGTTGATTCTCCTCAGGACCCATCTACACCACCTCTCTTTGTTTTTAGACCTAAAACTATGCCCAAGTCACAGTAAATCCTTGAAGGTGAGGTACAAAGTATGACCCATGAGAAGAGGCACTACATTAAAAAGGAACTACTTGAGTTTTCTAATTTATAATCATATATCCAGGAAAGATGTGTGGGAATAGAACGTAGGATAATGGTGGAAGAAACATAAAGTTGTATCAGTCTGAATTTATTGATACAGGCTCACCAAGCAAAGATTCTGCATTTAATGTTGCAGCTTGTGGAATTAGAAAAGACTCTAGTTGGTAGGTTGGCTGAAACATGGACCAAAGGGTGGCCCACAGTGAGCAAGACAAAAATGATGGACTTGTCTTGGATTAATGTAGAGAAAGACATTCAAAGGCTTAGGAAGATTAGGACATTAGAGTGTATTTGTACTTTAAAATCTACTCACCCACCCTGGGATGGTCCAGAAGATACATCTTTCACCACAACTGTGAGAAACAGATCTGTGAGGGGAGCTCCAGTACCCCTGAAGAGCTCTGTGATTGCTCTTCTGTGTGGGCTGGACCTTACAGTGGGAACTGCTGCCACTAAATTGGGAAACCTACATGCAATGAGAATAATTGGATCTCAAGGTTCCTTAGGGTATCTCTTAGTATTACCATGCTCTGTGATTAAGGCCAATGGAAAATGGCAGCAACCCAATTCATGCAGTTCTAATAGTGGCCCAGGCCTTTCAGAAATGAAGGTTTAAGTCACCCCACCAGGTAAAGAACCACAACCAGTTGAGGTACTTTCTGGAGGCAAAGAGAATGGGTAGTGGGAGAAGGTAGTTATAAATACCAACTATAAGCATGTGACCAATTACAGAAATGAGGACTGTCATTGTCATAAGTATTTTCTGATTATTTTGTTATGAGTGTTTGTATGTATGTATAATATTTTTGTTTTATTCCTTTTCTTATCCCCTTATCATATAACATATGATGTATTGACTATATAATAGTATTTAAGCATCATTAACTTTACTTCATAGTATTTATATCATGAGATATCAAGGAGAAGAGTAAGCTTTTTCCTGCCTTCAGACTTGAACTAAAACATCTTAGCTCTTCCTGGGTCTCAAGGCTCCTCTGGGTCATCTCCAGCTTGCTGATTCACCCTGCAGATCTTGGGACTTGTCAGCCTCCATATTAGTCCAATTCCATATATAAGATTATATATGATATAATCTCCTATTAGTCTGTTTCATTGGATATCCCTAATTAATGCACTCATATAAGCAGAATCATATAATATTTATCCTTTTATGTCTGGCCTATTCACTTAGAATGTTTTCAAAGTTCGTCCATGTTGTAGCATGAATCAGAGATATAACCTTTTTAAAATGGGGACTTCCTCTAGAATATCCATTGTCTAGACTTTAATCTACCAAACTGCTAGAAGCAGAAGTGTTTAATCCAGTCTTTTTTTTTTTTTTTTTTTTTTTTGAGACAGAGTCTCACTTTGTTGCCCAGGCTAGAGTGAGTGCCGTGGCGTCAGCCTAGCTCACAGCAACCTCAAACTCCTGGGCTCGAGTGATCCTTCTGCCTCAGCCTCCCAAGTAGCTGGGACTACAGGCATGCGCCACCATGCCCGGCTAATTTTTTATATATATATATCAGTTGGCCAATTAATTTCTTTCTATTTATAGTAGAGACGGGGTCTCGCTCTTGCTCAGGCTGGTTTTGAACTCCTGACCTTGAGCAATCCGCCCGCCTCGGCCTCCCAAGAGCTAGGATTACAGGCGTGAGCCACAGCGCCCGGCCTTTAATCCAGTCTTGAGGGATTAGGGAATTATTCTTGGAGGAAATGATTTTTATCTGAGACTTGAAGAATGAGTCAGGTGAAAGGTGCAGTAGGAGGTTGCTAGAAAAATATTACTGGTAGAAGAAACAGTATGTATATAGAAGCCTGGTGTGAGATATAATGTGCTGTAATTAGGGAATGAGAATTTCTTAGTATGGGGATGCAGCTTAGAGAGCAAGAGGGAAAGTGGCAAAACATTGTACTAGAGAGATTGGTAAGGGCCACATCATAGTGAATTCTTGGTGAAAAAGAATATAACCAATACCAAAGATATTAACTATTTCTTCCTCCATTACTCATGGGATGATAAGAGTTTATGTCATGTCTTCTAATCAGCTCATTTGTTGAATTATCCAGAAAACTAAAAATCAAGAATGAAGACTGTCTAGACCATTAAAGTTAAAGGTCAGCAAGGCTTGGGAATCTTGCTGATGAGAATACAAACATCATTAAGCATTTGGCAAATAACTCTCATTCTTCTTCATCTCTCTGATTCTTGCCATTAACCTGAATGACACTAACATCTGTGAGGAGAATCAACTCTTGGCTCTATTTTACCCTTTTCTTCGATGTTTCCTTGTTTTTAGAGTCACTCTGTTCTCTCAGAATGCCTTTCACAGTGTCCTGTTACCATAGGTACTCAGTAAATTTTACCCTGAAAGTTTGGTCATATACCAACCTTGTTATGTTTCTAAATGTTAAGCTCTAGGAGAGTTTTTTTGTCTTTCATATGAGAGCAGCATACCTTTACTTTGCCATTCTGAAAAAAGAGAGTCCAGTGCTGGCCATCTTGACTGCTGGAGATGAGGAACTCCTTCACATACATGCTGGTAAGAAGAGATTTTACTCCCTGGGTGGTAATTCCTGTGACTTTAATTGTCTTCTGGAAGTCCACTTGCAGCCATTCTTTTGGATTATTCACCTGGGGAAGTCAGTGTTGGACTAGTATCCTCTTGATCACCATTTGCTCCCAGAAATCCCCCAATCCCTTCTTAACCAGCACTTATTATCATACCACTTATCACTCTGTATTTCAAGGATTTGTCAGTTTCCCTTATTAGACTCTAAGCAACTTGAGGGCCAAAATCTTTCATAATTCATCTCTGCATCCCTAGAGTCAGCCATTTAATAGGTGCCTAGTCAATGTTTGTTGAATGAATACATGAACCACATATACACTGAGTAGAGTATAAAAAGTTTGGCAATGTGGTATACAACCTATTTTGTTTAAAACAAGCCCCTAGAGGAGCAGAGAAAATTAACTCCATTCATTCCCAATCAAAAAAGCTATTTAGTGATTGAAAAATCACTGGGTGGCTCTGGAAAATATTTGTGCATTACTATAATCCTTTAATTTGAAGTAATGAGAAACCTGGAAAGAAACCTAAGTGTTGATATTTATCTGTAAAATATACTTTAGCTACTACAATTCTTTGACAGATATTAGCCCAGTAGGGGATATAGATATTCTTCTTCCAGGAGGTTCAATTAGGGATCATTTTCCCTGAGAGATGCTATGAGAAATCACATGGCACATCCACTAAATGCCTGTGGGTTGCCTGCCCATAGTCAGCCTTCCCTAACACTCTTTGTAGGAATAACAGTTGACAGAAATACCTCTGAAGAAATAATCAAGGGATTCTTCTGCTTTTCCCCAACCACTACTCCCTTCTTTGGACTAGTTAAACGGTAAGTCTGTTGCCTCTTACCTGTGGTCTCCAAGCATTAGTCCTCCCCTGGAGGTGAAGTCGGGCTTGTGAAGGAGACCAGGTGGCAAACATATTGGTGAGGTAGGATGAGGCAGTAATCTGTGCATCTGATATTTCTTTACTCTCCATTCCCAACGGCATGCTGCAACCTCAAAGAAATGAATAGAGAATGTTATCACAAGGACAGGCTGTGTCCTAGGTTATACTGGGCTGTCTCCACCTATACTGTTAGGGCTATTGTCATCATGACATCATTTTTCAGGCATTAACTTTTGCAGACATTCTATTATTGTTAACATTCCCCTGTTTTCTGTACATCTCTGCTCAGCTCTGTTTGATTTTTCTTGTTAATAGTAGCATAGGAGGTGGTTGCCTCTGGGGAATCCCATGGTCAGGGCAAAAAAAAAAAAATCCTGGCTTTATCTAAGACTATGCTGGTTTTAGCACTGATAATTCTGTGTCCTGAGACTGAGACTCCCTTCCCCACGTCCCCCGTCTCAGGATAACTAGGAAAGTTAGTCACCTTACCCATGGTTGGGTGAGGAATGGATATGGGATGACTTGGCACTTACTATTTAAATCACAGCCCATCAACTCCATACGAAGAGTGCTGCGGATGCTATAATGAGTTGGGTGCAAACGGATATACCGAGCAATAATTGGAGGGTTAAAAATATTGTGTTTTATCCCAGTTGAATCCACATTGCCAAAGAATACCTGTAGGGAGGGGTTAGCACAAATACATGGAAAGTGAATGCAGAGTGTAAAGCAATTTCTCCCAATCACATTTTCCTTCTAGTTTTGCTTTGTGCATTTTTCAAGAGTATCCAACATCCAAATAAAACAATTATGGCCAGACAGATGTTAGGATGGTATACACAAAAGAGGAAAGCACCAGGAAGGAGAGTGGAACAAAAGAGATTAGATCTGGGGCAAATGAAATGATTTTCTACTTTGGATTCCTATAAAAGTCTCATAAAAGTTGAGGAAGCCATGCTGGACTTTGATACTCCAGCATGGTACACAAACCACTGGCAGCAGCATCACCTGGAAGCAATTATATAGTACCAGGGGAGTGATATCAGTGAGTTGGTTGAATAGGAGGTCCCCAGCTCTTAGCCTCTTACAGAAACAATAATTTGGCAGCCATCTATGGAAAAAAGTGCCTTTATGGGAGCTTTGTGATCCAAGTAGGAGGTTGAGAAACCCTAGAGTAGCCCAAGACTGAGGATGGCTGCTTTGATAAGGCAGGCATACATCCTGGTGGTGGGCCTGCCAACCATGGTTCTGGTTGTAGTCCCAGAAGCAGCCTACCACCCTGTGGACTTGGCTCCAGCCCTGCTTGTATATGGTCCTGCCACCAGCCCTGCCAAAGGATCTGGAGGAACAACTCCTATTGGCACCATCAGTAACAGGCCTGTTGACTATGAACCCTGAAGTGGCCCTATACTTAGATTTAGTACAGCACTACCATGGTCTGGGGGCAGTTCTTCCTGCCCAGGAAACTTCTGCGAGCCATGCCCCCAGAAACAGGTCTGCCAACTGGACCTGACTGTGGACCCAATCCTACTTGAGGCAATCCTGCCTGCCTAGGGATCTGGTAGAAGCTGTGCCCATCTGTGCCCTCATAATAAGCCCACCAACTATAAGCCCAACTGGGGACCCTGAAGCAGCCCTGTGTTTCAGGCCCACTCCACCACTGTCCACAGGCAAAGCTGCCTGCCCAGGTACCTAGTCGGATCCACACCTGTCCACAGCACTGGTAATGGGCCCACTGTCTGCAGACCCAGCTTAAGACCCAGAATAGGTATCTATTCTTCCAAATACACAGACACCAAAGCAAGACTACATAGATCACAAAAAATCAGGCAAACATGATACCACCAAAGGGAGCTAATAAAGCTCTAGTAACCAACCATAAATAAATGAAGATTCATGAAATGCTTGACAAAGATTTCAAAACAATCATTCAGAGAAGCTCAGTCAGCTATAAGAGAATACAGGTAGACAACTAACAAAATCAGGAAAATAATACATGAACAAAATTAGAAGTTTAATACAAAAATAAAAACCATAAGAAAGAACAAAACAGAAATCCCAGAGCTGAAGATTATGACTGAACTGAAAAATTCAATAAATATCTTGAATAGCAGACTCAATCACACAGAAGAAAGAATCAATGAACTTAAAGACAGATCATTTGAAATTATCTAGTTAGAGGAACAAAAGAATAATGAGAAAGAGTGAAAAGAGTATATGCAACTTATGTGACAACATCAAGCAAAATAATATACACATTATAAGAGTCTTAAAAGGAGAAAAGAGAGCTAAAGGAAGCTTACTTAAAGAAATGATGTGTGAGAATTTCCCAAATCTAGGGAGAGAAATGGACATCTCAATTCATGAAGCCCTAAGGTCTCCAAAAAGGTTGGACTCACAGAAGTCTACAATATGACACATTATAATTAAATTATCAAAAATCAAAACAAATAGAGAATTTGGAGGCAGTAAGATAAAAGTGAATTGCTCATATAAGACTATGAGCAGATTTCTCAGCAGAAACCTTGTAGGCCAGGAAAGAGTGGAATGATATGTTCCAAGTACTAAAAAAAAAAAAACCTTTCCAACCAACCCAAAACCACTTTATCTGGAAAAACTGTTCTTTAAGAATGAAGGAGAGATAAAGACTTTCCCAGAAAAACAAAAACTGAAGGGCTTCATCTCCACTAGACCTGCCTTACAAGAAGTCTTTATAAGAGGTCTTCAAATTGAAATGAAAAGACACTAAACAATAACATGAAACATATGAATGCTTAAATCTCACTGCTAAAAGGCAAATATAAAGAAAAATAAAAAATATTGTAATACTACAATGATGGTATAAATCACTATTAAAAGCAGTATATAGATTAAAATAAAAAGAACAGTGAGCCAGGCGTGGTGGCTCACGCCTGTAATCCTAGCACTTTGGGAGGCCGAGGCGGGCGGATTGCTCAAGGTCAGGAGTTCAAAACCATCCTGAGCGAGACCTCGTCTCTGCCAAAAATAGAAATAAATTAATTGACCAACTAAAAATATATATACAAAAAATTAGCCGGGCATGGTGGCGCATGCCTGTAGTCCCAGCTACTCGGGAGGCTGAGGCAGTAGGATCGCTGAGCCCCGGAGATTGAGGTTGCTGTGAGCCAGGCTGACGCCACGGCACTCACTCTAGCCTGGGCAACAAAGTGAGACTCTGTCTCAAAAAAAAACTATAATGAGAAATTTGTCAATGGAAACACAGTATAAAAACTGTGAACTAAATAAACCTTTTGTTCTTTATAAATTACCCAGCCTCAGGTATTCCTTTATAGCAACACAAACAAAGACAGAAAAGGGATACTGGGGAGTGGGGTGTTACCATAAGGATACCAGAAAATGTGCAAGTGGCTTTGGAACTGGGTAATGGGCAAAGGTTAGAAGAGTTTGGAGGGCTTAGAAAAAGACACGAAGATGAGGAAAAGTTGGGAACTTCTTAGAGATTGGCCAAGTGGCTGCCACCAAAATGCTAATAGAAATATAGATAGTAAAAGGCCATGCTGGCAAGGTCTCAGATGGAGATGAGGAATTTATTGGGAACTAGGCAAAATTTATTGGGAACAAGGGCAAAGTGTACCCTTGTTACACCTTAACAAAGAACTTGGCTGCATTGTGTCCATGCTCTAGAGCTTTGTGGAAGGCTCAAGGTAAGAGTGATGGCCTAGGGCAGTGGCCTCCAACCTTTTTGGCACCAGGGACCGGTTTTATGGAAGACAGTTTTTCCATGGACAAGGGATGGGGGAGGGTATTGTGGCGAGGGTATTGTGGAGCTCAGGCGGTGATGAGCCCATTTCCTAACTGGCCATGGATTTGTAATGGACCACAGCCCAGGGGTTGGGGACTGCAGGCCTAGGGTATCCGGTGAAAGACATTTCTAAGCAGCAAAGACTTCAAGAAGTGGCAGGGCTGCTTTTAACAGCTTACAATCAGATATGGCAGCAAAGGAACAACTTAAAGTTGGAATTTATAATTAAAAGAGAAGCAGAGCATAAAAATTTGGAAAATTCTCAGCCTGTCCATGTGTTAGAGAAAGAAAGAGCATTTTCAGGAGTGTAATCCAAGCAGGCTGCAGAGCAACCATTTGCTAGAGAGATTAGCACAGAAGAAAGGGAGTCAGGTGTTAATAGCCAAGACAATGGGAAAAAGGCCCCAAAGGCACTTGAGGTATCTTTCAGGCAGGCTCTCCCATCACAGGCCCAGAGGCCTAAAATGGTTTCAGGGTCTTCCCTGCACAACTTCAGGATATTTCTTTTGGCATCCCTGCTGCTCCACCACCAGCTATAGCTCAAAGGGCTTCAGATACTGCTTGGACCACTGCTCCAGAAAGTGTAAGCAGTAAGCCTTGGTGGTACCCACGTGGTGCTAACTCTGCAGGCATTCCGAATGCAAGAGTAGTGGAGGCTTGGCAGCTTCCACCTAGATTTCAGAGGAGGTATGGGAAAGCCTGGGTGCCCAGGAAGAAGCCTGCCATAGGGGCAGAGCCTCCACAGAGAGATTCTACTAAGGCAATGTCAGCTGGAAATGTGGGGTTGGAGCCCCCCACAGAAAGAATCCAATAGGGCACTGCCTATTGGAGCTGTGGCAGCAGAGCCACCATCCTCCAGACCCAAGAATTATAGAGCCACTAGCTATGTGCAATCTCACCGTGGAAAAGCCATAGGCCTTGGATGCCAACTCATGAAAGCAGCCATGTGGGCTTTGCCCAGCAAAGCCATGGGGATGAAGCTGCCCAAGACCTTGGGAGCCCACCCCTCAAACCAGTGTGCCCTGGATGCAAGACATGGAGTCAAAGATTATTTCTGAGTTTTAAGGTTTAATGTTTGCCCTGCTGGATTTCACACTTGTATGGGGCCTGTTACCCCTTTCTTTTGGCCAATTTCTCCCTTTTGGAATAAGAATGTTTACCAATGTCTATTATACCATTGTATCTTGTAAGTAAATAATTTGTTTTTGATTTTACATGATCACAGCTGGAAGGAACTTGTCTGGAGTCTCAGATGAGACTTTGGACTTCAGACTTTGAAGTCAGTGCTGGAACAAGTTAAGACTTTGGGGGACTATCGGGAATGGATGATTGTATTTTGTATGTAAGAAGGACATGAGATTTGGGGGACCAGAGGCAGAATGATATGGTTTGGATATGGTTTGTTTGTCCTTACAAAAACTCATGTTGAAATTTGATCTCCAATGTTGGAGGCAGGGCCTAATGGGAAGTGTTTGGGTCATTTAGGTGGATCCCTAATAAAAGGCTTGGCGCTCTCCTTGCAGTAACGAGTGAGTGCTTGCTCTATTAGTTTCCATGAGAGCTGACTGTTGAATGGAGCCTGTAACCTCCTCACTCTTTTGCTTCCTCTCTTACTGTGTGATCTCTGCACATGCCAGCTTCCCTTACACTTCTGCTGTGAGTGGAAGCAGTCTGAGGCTTTCACTAGATGCAGGTGCTGGTGCCATGCTTCTTGTACAGCCTGCAGAACTTTGACTCAAATATATTAGTTGGTGAAAAAGTAATTGTGGTTTTAGCATTGTTGAATTTGCTGTTTGATATAGGAATATATTCTTAAATAAATATGGTTATGTCATACATCATTTCAATGCACATTTCTCATTTTATGTATTTTTGCTAATAAATTATTACTTGC